TGATTGGGTTCTTTCTTTTTCTTGCTCTGACCATATATACAGCGAGCAAAGTTCCAAAGGTTGTAGATCTGCAGTCATTGCAGCATTTGCCACAAGTTCTGAGAAAAGCTGACCTGCACAAGATACAGTCAGAGCTTGTTGCTTGTTTCTCTTCTCTCCCAAATTTGTCTAATCTACAAAGGTTAAAAGATGAACTCAAAACCTCCTTCCCTTCCATGGATAAGCTCTCTCTATCCAACTGGCACCTCCTCGAACTACTATCAAGTTGCTTGCCCCAGAGATATTTCAATGCTAGCCAAACTAATGTACGTATTTGATTTAACTTTTTCTTTATTGAATATCTTCTGAAATTATAGTTTAATATGTTTAAATAATGCCTAAGAACTTGGTTTTAATCACACAAAACAAATTGCTTTCACTAACAAGCATGTTAATTACGTTGTTCTAAAAGTATCTATATACCCAGAAGGTCTATGCATTTTTTCACCTATATATAAATCACAATTTTTTGGATTTTGGTCTCACAATTTGTACACACAATGAAGAAAATTTGTGGGGTTTTTTTAAATATTTTAAATATTTCAAAATTTGAAATTAATCCCTCAAATCATGTAAATTGCTATGAGGTTCCTCATTTCATAGTTTGTTTTGAAATTAGTCCCTCAAAGTCATGAAAATTGCTATTAGATCCCACAAATGTTGACTTATTTAGAAATAAGCTGCTCCAATCAATAACGGAAATAGCAATTGGAGGGATTAATTTGAAACAAATTATGAGAACTGGAGGACCTAATAGTCAACAAAGTAGATTTTACTTGGTAATCCTTCCAATTGCTACTTCTACTCTTGATTCTAGGGACTAAGTTCAAAATAAGTCAAGACTTGAGGGACCTAATAGCAATTTCCATGATTTGAGGGGCTATTTTCGAAATAAGAAAGATTTTAGGGACTATTATTAAAAACCCCAAATTTGTTATGAAATGGGTATAATTTAAGAAATTTTTGTTTGATACTAAGGCAGTGCAATCATAGATAGGACAGGTCACTTATCTCTTTGCTACAGAGCAAAGTGCTCAACATTATCGATCTTAACCTTTTTTAATGCTGATATAATTTTTATGTTTATATCTTTTCTTGATTGACTTGTTTCTTCCAAATATAAATTTTGTGTCTTGCTATCTAAGTGGGGTTTAATTGTGGACGGAACCCCTGGAGTATTGCCAAATAGAACTTGCTAGTCCTGCAGTTCTATTGTTGCAGAAAGACTTTGTTCACAATCTCTTTTGAATTTTGACTTGCAATTTGGACAGACAATGAAAAAATTGTTATGAAAACGACTGTAATTTAAGAAATTATGTTGACATTAAGGCAGTACAATCATAGATTGCAGGACACTTATCTCACGCTACAGGAGCAAAGTGTTGAACATTGCCGATCTTACTGTTAGTATAACTGATTATTTTGATGTTTGATATATATTGATTCACTTGTTTCTCAAATATAAAGTTGGGTTCAATGTGGATTGTCCTGGTGTAGAATCTCACCCAATTACAGATAGACCCATGCAGTTCTATTGTTGCCGGATCTTACTGCTAGTAAACCTGATTATTTTGATGTTTGATATGTATTGATTTACTTGTTTTCTCAAATATAAAGTTGGTTCATTGGGTAGACCAGGTGTAGTGTCTCACCCAGTTGCATAGAGACCCATGTAGTTTTATTGCTGCAGATAGATGCCCTGAATGAAATTTGTTGACGCTTTTACCCTCAGAGAAAGAGATTTTTTTTGACAACTAGACTTATTGAGGGTAAAAGAGTCAAAAAAAAAACATTTCACTTAGGGGGTTTATCAGCAATTGGGCGATAATAAGTGGGTCTATCCGCAACAATAGAACTTCGGGGGTCCATTCACAATTGGGCGAATGTACAGGAAATATATCCACGTTTAACTCCTGTGAAGTTTGTGTCTTTTTAGCTAAAAGGAAAGTTGTGGTGTCTGTGGCATTTCTGTTTGGGTTAATCGTGGATAGATCCCCTATACTATCTTGTTAGCTAAAAGGAAAGTTGTGGTGTCGGTGGCATTTCTATTTGGGTTAATCGTGGATAGATCCCCTATACTATCACTTAATTCTGTGTGGACCCTATGTTGTTCTATTGTTGCACACGGACCCGTGTGTGAAATTTTTTTGACTCTTTAACCATAGGACTTATATTCGCCAAAAATCAAATTACTCTTTTTCTGAGGGTAAAAGAGTAAAAAAATCATTCAGGAGGGTCTATCTGTAACAATGGAATGACAGCTGATCTGTGCACAATTGGGCGATAGTAAAGGGATCTATCCGCAATTTAATCCTTTAAGAAATTTTGTTGTCACTAAGGCAGTGCAATCATAGATAACGCAATCATTTTTATTGCAGAGGAGCATAACCGACGATGT